TTTCGGTTGTAGTTGTCATTGTTGTTTGGCAGGCCAGGGCTGGATTCAAACCCTCCAGCTCTGGTGTATGTGGCTGGTGCCTTAGCCGCTTGAGCTAGAGGCGCCCACCCCATAGTAGTAATTCTTAACTGTAAAACGGTACTAGCAAATGGTATGGCACAGAAGAAAAAAAAAGTTAAGCTGAAAAAGTATTATATATATATATTATATATAACTCCTAACACCAATTTACTCAATTAGTAGGATTTTTCTTTTAGGATCTTTGCCTTTCCTCCACAAGCTCTGCCCCCTCTCCTTTCTCCCCTCCTCATCCCACCTTCCTTCCCCTTTCCTGCTCCCTTTCGCCTCCTCCTCTCCGCATCCCACCTTCCTTCTCCTCCCTGCCCGCTTTCTCTCCCTCCTTTCTCCATTATGCCTCCACTTCGCGCAGGCGCCCGGGGCAGCGCTGAGTCAGGCTGCAGGCCCAGCCGGGGCTGGGTTTGCGCCTGCGCATTGGGCGGCTTCGGGGGGTGGGGCAGGTTTATATCAGCCCGGCATCAGCTGACGCTCTGCATTGCAGACGACGGAGTCACGCGGCGCCATGTACACTCTCTTCCTCCTGGCCGGCCTCCTGGGCCCGGGTAAGCCCTGCGACCCCTAGCTTCGGGAAAGGCCCATCCGCAGCGTGCACTGGTCCCTGAATGAGTTGTATAGCGACTGGTCCCTCCGCTTCCCTTGGCCTGGTTGGCGAGGGGCGCGCACTGCGCAGGCTCGGACGCCGGGCCTGTACCTGTTGGGGCCGCCCTGAGGCTGCGGGAGGCGCTGGGAGACCGGGTTTTCGCAGTCCGGGAACGAGTTGCCCAGGGCCTGGATGGGGGCGAGGCGGGTGGGGCTGGGTAGGTGGCCTTTCTCTCGGGGCTCGAGTGGGTGCCTGCAAGGCTGGGGGCACCCAGAGCCTTATTTCAGGCTGCCCTTCACGTGTGTGGGTGGGTCTTGTAGGGTGACTCCTCCCGTAGCTATGTTATGCTGGCACTGGACACACGTGATTGAGACGGACTGTAGCCTCATCGGACAGGACGTCGGCCGCTGGCCTCGGTTGCTCCAGTTTGTAAGGGTAGCACACAGTCTGCAGGAATCACATCCGCCTATCATCTCTGTTGATGTTTATACTTGCATATATATTTATTCTGGATCTCTGGTATTGCTCATGACATCGGGTTTTGTGGTCCCAGTTATTTTGTCATGAAGTCTTCTTCTCACTTGCTTTAAAATGTCTTTGCACAAGTCCGGGCGTCGCAGCTCACCCCTGTAATTCTAGCACTCTTGGGAGGCCGAGGCGGGTGGATTGAGCTCTGAAGTGGAGACCAGCCTGAGCAAGAGTAAGACCTGGTCTCTACTGAAAATAGAGAAAACTAGGTAGGCGTTGTGGTGGGCGCCTGTAGCCCTCGCTACTTGGGAGGCTGAGGCAAGAGGATCACTTGACCCCAAGAGTTTGAAGTTGCTGTGAGCTATGACGCCATGGCATTCTACCCAGGCCAGCGAATGAGACTCTGTCTCAAAATAAATAAATAAAATGTCTTGCACAGGTATTTACCGATTTTAGCAGTGGCCTTTATTTTTGGGAAAATGTAAGTAGACGAAAAGTTGTGCACAGGAAGTATTTCTGTCTATTGAGCTGAAATAGTACTCTGAAATAGTTAAAATCACAGCTAATTCTGAAGGCTACCTTTGGGAACCAGCTGCGTTGCCTTCCTGGAATTAGAAGGGGCCTTCCTGCTGTGTCACCACCTTCTTTGTTCCCTAACTCTTGATTTTTTTTTTTTTGAGACAGAGTCTCAAGCTTTCCCGGTTACAATGCTCACAGCAACCTCCACCTTGGGCTCAAGCGATCCTCTTACTTCAGTTTTTCTATTTTTAGTACAGATTGGGGGAGGGGTGTCTCACTTTTGTTCTGGTTGGCCTTGAACTCAGGAGCTCAAGCAATCAACCTACCTTGGCCTCTCAGAGTGCTAGGATTACAGGCACCCGGCCCTAACTCTGATTTTTACATCTTAAATCATCCTGGTAGAGAATGAAGTGAGGTTGAGTAATTATTGACATTCTATAGTTTCATAGTCCTGGAATCAGAATTAATTTGGAGAATCCCAAGTCTGTATTTTTTTTAGGTAATGGTCTAATCTGATCTTAAGTGCCTCCAATCTCAATTTCTTTTTCTTTTTTTTTAGTATATATATACAATTTAGGGGCTACCTTCCATTCTAACTACCACATAGCCACTCAATTTTAGTTAAGTAGTAAGAAAGTGGATAAGAGGATTGATGGAAAACTAATGAAATGCCTTACACCCAACTTGTGTTTTATTTGTGCTGTATGGAAGGTAATCTGCTTATAAAGAAAGGTTCTTGTTTTTTTAAGTTTATATTGCTGTTATTCCATGGTCTGTTTAATAAACTGCTAGTCTTTAAATTTTCTGTACTGATTTAGAGCCGTTTTTTCTTTTTTCTCACCTCTTTTATTTATACAGTATCCAACTATTGTTCTTCTGATATTGAGTCATTACTCAGGAGACCCTTAAGTTCTGATGCACTCACATCATCCAAAAGGGACTTAATTGTTTCTTTGGAAATGTAAACTACACCTCTGGTACATGTAGGAGTGTGGTTAAGCACAATATTTAGTTAACCAAGGGACCCTGTTCTATGAACTCTTAGCTAAATGAAAGGCGTTATAATGGCCTTGATCTAATTTTGCTGCTCTGCCTTTAGGATTATACCAAGGTCATGCTGATAACAGTGTTTGAATGCTAGCTTGCCTTGACAGATCTGATCCCATTGTGGCATTTTAGAAATGTTACTCCTTGGGCTGCACCTGTGGCTCAGTGAGTAGGTCGCTGGCCCCATATACCGAGGGTAGGGGGTTCAAACCCGGCCCCGGTCAAACTGCAACAACAAAAAAGTAAAAATAGCCGTTTAGGGTGTTGTGATGGGTGCCTATAGTCCCAGCTACTTGGGAGGCTGAGGCAAGAGAATCACCTAAGCCCAGGAGTTGGAGGTTGCTGTGAGCTGTGTGACGCCACGGCACTCTACCGAGGGTGATAAATTATGTGAGACTCTTGTCTCTAAAAAAATAAAGAGAAATGTTACTCCTAAATTTCTAAAAGTGCATAGCAACTGCAGCCATTGTCTGCTTCCTGGGAGGCATTTTGAACTTTAGTGGAACTACTGTAGTATGGCTGTACCATCCTGAATCTGCAGAGGCTTTATGTTTGTGTTTTAATGATGTCCTAGTGGTAAGCATTTGCTTTTGAGTATTTTTCCACCCATCCAGTTGTCCCTTTTTCCCTACCTGAAGAACCTGAAGCGATGATATGATGGGAGAATTGGAAAGCACTGAATCTAACCTTTTTGTAAGGAATGATGATAGAGAGGTGACTCTCCCAAAGGACAGGCCATTTACTTGGGATGTCAGGACCAGAACCCAGGACTCCATCAGCATGGGCCTTTTAACTTTTAAAAACTTAGTGTGATTCACAAACATGCACATTTTTTTTTTTTTTTTGTTGTGGAGCCTCAAGCTATCCCCCTGGGTAGAGTGCCATGGCATCACAGCTCACGGCAACCTCCAACTCCTGGGCTCAAGCGAGTCTCCTGCCTCAGCCTCCCAAGTAGCTGGGACTACAGGTGCCCACCACAACGCCTGGCCATTTTTTGGTTGCAGCCATCATTGTTGTTTGGCGGGCCCGGGCTGGGGATTCGAACCCACCACCTTAGGTGTATGTGGCTGGTGCCTTAGCCGCTTGAGCCACAGGCGCCGAGTCAAACATGCACATTTTAAGTGGCCATCTTGATGCATTACCCTAGAGTGAGCTTACAGCAGCCTCAAGGCGGAGGAGGAGAATGCCAGTGGCATCCAGAAGCCCTGTGCCTCCCCATTCACTACCCTGTCTCACTTGCCCCAAAGGAAACAAATTTGTTAACTTTTATTTTTAATTTTTGAGACTCAGTTTCCCAGTTTCCCTCTGTTGCCCCAGGCTAGAGTGCCATGGCCTCAATCCTAGCTCATAGCAGCCTCAAACTTGGGGGCGTAAGCAATCCTTCCGCTAAAGCCTTCCAGAATGTTGGGATTACAGACGTGAGCTACCGTGCCCAGCCAAACTGGTTAACTTTTTAACACCATAGAAGTAAAAACTGCCATTTTTGAGCTTTCACAAATGGATCATACAATAAGGGTATGCTGTTGGGTGATTCTTCTAATGGAAAAAGGCGAGTATTAATGCAGTAAGTGCTTAGCCCTGACTACTGCCACTTTGTATAGTTGCTAACCAGCTGAATGGCCCTACACTGAGGCAGATGTGTTTTTTCTAGGGATGCTAGAACATATGTTTGCTTTTTTTTTTTTTTTTTAAGAGACAGAGTCTCTGTCGCCCTCGGTAGAATGCTGTGGTGTCACAGCCCACAGCAACCTCCAACTCTTAGGCTTAAGCAATTCTTTTGCCTCAGCCTCCCAAGTAACTGGGACTACAGGTGCTTGCCACAACGCCCAGCTATTTTTTTTTTTTTTTTTGGTTGTAGTTGTCATTTGTTGGAAGGCCTGGGCTGGATTCAAACCCGCCAGCTCCTGTGTATGTGGCTGGCGCCCTAGCTGCTTGAGCTACAGGTGCTGAGCTGGAGACTGAAAATTAATAAAAATAAAAAAAAATTAGTAAATCAGTTTTGGCTGGGTATGGTGGCTCATGCTTGTAATCCTAGCACGCTGGGAGGCCAAGGCAGGTGGATTGCCTGAGCTCATGGGGTAGGAGACCAGCCTGAGCAAGAGGGGAGATCTCGTCTCTAAGAATAGCAGGGCATAGCGGCAGGCTCCTGTAGTCCTAGCTACTTGGGAGACTGAGGCAAGAGAATCGCTTGAGCGTAAGAGTTTGAGGTTGCTGTGAGCTATAACACCATGGCACTCACCCGAGCGCGATACAGTGAGACTATCAAAAAAAATAGTAAATCAGTTTTATTTTGTGTAAATATTAGTATAATTTCTGAAGGGTTAAATTGTTTAAATCAGCATGCTTAATTGTTGGTTTGTCAAGACCCTGGAGGGCATTTGACAAGTTATTTTGAATGTGTTATGAGAGGTGAACTGTATTGGATTTAGTGGTATGGGGAAGAGGAAGGAGAACTTGGTCCTCCATTTTCTTGGTTTGTGAAACTGGAATGACCAGGAAGCTATGGGCAAGATAGGGGCAGGGTATCCCTGACCGAGGGCAGCATTTAAGATCAAAGCCATTTAGGCAAGTGTGCACTGCAGCTTTTTTTTTGTTGTTGTTGCACCTTTTTTTTGGCCGAGGCTAGGTTTGAACCTGCCACTTTCAGCATATGGGGCTGGCCTGCACTGTAGCTTTTGAGACAGTCTTTCAGCTTGGGATTCTAGATTACTGGCTACCAGGCTCTAAGCCTTCTCTTCTAGCTTCTGGGTTTTTTTTTTTTTTTTTTTTTTGGCTGGGTCTGGGTTTGATTCTGCCACCTGTGGCATAGAGGGCTAGTAGCGTTGTACTCCTTTGAGCCACGGGCGCCACCCGCTTCTTGGCTTTTTTTTTTTTTTTTTGAGACAGTCACACTATGTCGCCCTGGGTCCCGTGGTGTCACAGTTCATG